TTTTGAGACTGATCGGATAAACAACATGGCCGACAGGCAGCCATCTTGGATTTTGATAGTGAAAGTTTGTTATCGCTATTTCTCGGGAAGTACTCGAGGGATCTTTTCAAATTTTATATGTAGGTTCCCCGTGGTCCTAAGCTGTGCAGGGCAATTGTTGAGACTGATCAGATGAACAACATGGCCGACAGGCAGCCATCTTGGATTTTGATAGTGAAAGGTTGTTATCGCTATTTCTCGGGAAGTACCAGAGGGATCGTTCTCAAATTTTATATGTAGGTTGCCCTTGATCTCTCGTTGTGCATGTTATATTTTGAGACTGATCATAAAAACAAAATGGATTAAAAGAAGAACTAAACAAATCTTTCTCATATTGCAATGATAGATTCTATTTCTTCCACATTAAGTACTGTACTAGTAAATATGTAAAATGACAAACTCACTTTGAAGGTTGGCTTTCGTACACATCAGTATTAAGTTTAGATCAAAAGTTACCTCAAGGTGCATTTACTGTTAACATGGCTCGATCAAACAGATTAGAGGAAAGAGAAAAGATTGAACTGACAAAGAACTAATGAAGATGGTACAAAGGTGGGCGCCAAGATCACTCTGGGATCTCTTGTTTGATAATGAGTGCAAAGATTCTTCAGGGATCTCTTAAAATTCGTTGTTCAAATTGACTTTATTTTCTACGACATCATTACGTACCTCAATCGCAGGTATGTACATGAACTAAGGTTATAGGGTTCATAAGGTGATATGTTGAAGCTGTTTCAATCAGTACAGAAAACACAATCAGGAAACTATTTTCCACTATACAGGTATCTATACATGGCTACATCAGTCAATGGAGCAATCAAGGTGTTCAAGAGACAGTTAAAGGCAGGACAGCTCACGTTTTTACAGGTAAGATATTTACAGGTGTACATCATATATACCAATACCTTCACTGACCCCTGTCTCTAAAATATTATTCAGAAAAAGATTTAGACTGTAATAATGTTGATCACTTGGATGTCTGATTCCAGGGGGAGATAAGCTAGAAACAAAATAAAACCTTTTGGGATTGATAGCAAGTCTAACTAATACTGTGTGTCATATTATTACAGTACAGAGTGTTAAAAACTTGCTTAATTTCCTACTTAAACAGTCAATTATATTATTTGTTCTGTGAACTTAATATCCAGAGTTTCTCAGCTTTCACCTGATATTTTGGGTTGATTTGAAATTCTAGATGGCCATTCTTGTCTTTGATGGGCAGAAACTGTTTGCACTGATTCTCATGGTCCACTATATGTTGATTCTAAGCCACACTGTTTGACTGTTGCTCTCATTGCCTTATCCAAGTGTTGGTATTGTAAACAAATAGGCCAATGGTAGCCCCTATATTAATCAAATGACAATTAAAAAAAATGTACCTGATAAAAGCTCCATCTGGCTTAGTGTTAGAAAAAATGAGGTCTTTTTGTAGGTACAGCTAAGATTTTGATTGGTTAGAGTATTCCTTATAAATTAGCTCACCTGGCCTAAAGGGCCATGTGAGCTTATGCCGTACTGCGTTGTTTGTCTGTCGTCTGTCGTCTGTCCGTCAATTTTTAGGTCATGATGTATGGCCAGTAGGTTCCTGGGATGGAGTGCTATAAAGTTTCCTCATTAAAATGACCTTGACCTACTTTCAAGGTTACTCGGGTCAAATATGTTAAAAATTTTAAACAACAATATCCTAAGAACCATTTGGACTAGTCATGATACTTGGGTATGCTATGTAGACCAGCAGTGTGAATATTTTTTTAAATAACAGTAATGATGTCAAATGTCAACTTTAAATGCTAGTTGGGGGTCAAATGTAAACTTTAAATGCTAGTTGGGGGTCAAATGTCAACATGGGTTAAAAGCTTTAACAATCTTCTTCTTTGGTTCCATAAGGCCCAGGGTCATGAAATTTGGCTAGTAGGTACCTGGGATGAAGTGCTATAACGTTAACTTATTAAAATGACATTGACCTACTTTCAAGGTGACAGGGGTCAAATATATTAAAAACTTCAAACAACAATATCCTAAGAAACATTTGGACTAGAGTCATAATACTTAGGTATGTTATGTAATCCAGCTGTGTGAATTGTTTTCTTTATTACAGTTATGAGGTCAAAGGTCAACTTTAAGTGCAAGTCGGGAGTCAAATGTCAATGTGGGTTAAAAGCTTTAAAATAAAAAAAATAAGTTTCCAACAACAATATCTTTAGAACCGTTTAAGAGATGTTAAGATGTCTTGTGTTCTAGTTACCAAATTTGGTCTCAAGTTACCTATATGTCAGTTTCATGTAACAAAAGAAACAGGTGAGCGATACAGGCCCTCTGGGCCTCTTGTTTTATTTGTGATTGGGTAGCATACCCGGTAGTAACTTTGTTCTTTTGTGATTGGACAGGAAGTAAAGTTGTACACATCTCTCGATAATCCGACAATAAACCCCCTCACTGGACATCTACTGGTCGGGGCCCAGCCAATCGTCCATACAACCCTTCAAACGATGGGGGACCCAAGTAAACCCAGTGCATCTCAGGTATGTACAAATATCCTCACCTGATCATTTGTTATCTACTTGGTACAAACTCAGCTGATTATTACTAACATCAATTATTGCAAATGTGAAGTATGAAACGAAATGTTGCCAAAAGAAAAATCCAAGGAATACATTTTGAAGTGATCAATTCCATGATAAATCAAAAGGAAAGGTCAAGAAATATGTTTAGTGTGAATACGGCTATTTATTTGTAATTAATGGTGAAAATAGCTCATTTCTTAATGTTTTACATAGTAAAACAAAGTTCAGATTACCTTTTGTTGAAAATATCCTATACTCTTTATATCAACTGTGGTTTTGAATTTACATGTATTTATAATCTCCCCTGGCAGTGTACCTGTGAGTTTATAAGGTACATGTATTTGTAATCTCATTTCATTTCATCAAATTTTATTGACAAGATGTCATAATCAAT